TTCGGTGAAACATATACAGAGACAACAATTTTCATTCACGAAGACAAGTATTAAAGTGTCTCTGAAAATTCTTGTTTATTTTTTTTTTTTTCATTTTGTAAGCCGGCTTCCCCGGTGTTTGCTTTTTCAAAGATGAACTCGAGGCAAGAAAATCGCTCAAAGCTTTCTTTTACAGCCAGAATTATAAATAAATATTCTTTGGAACGTTTTCTTTCTATTTGCGGTGAGAAAATGTCTAAAGGCTTTTTAAAGTTCTATAAGCTTATAATCAAACCTGATACTCGGTCAGATCATTGTCTCAAATCTTACAATTAAAAACGTGCATAAACTAAATAGCCCTTTAAACTACGCTCGACTTCATTAAATTAGATATAAAAAAACAAACGTCAAATACAATAATTACTCAGGCTTAACATTCGAGATGCACTGAAAACTATCAAGTAAGGCCAGAATCGCTTCAGACTTTTCACCCCTCTTACGCATCAAGCGAGGTGAAAGACGAAAACGATGCCATCCGAAATCGGATTTCCGACTTTGACAAGCGACGTATTTCTCAACCAAAAACCCAATAAACAAACTAGCCATGAATAACGGAAGACTCTTGATAGCAGCGGAATTTCATTTTGTACATTCAGTGGAAAAAGACAGTTAAAAACATCACACGTTGACACAAAACTCTGTCAGCTTCAGCAAAGTAAGCAAGTTTCAAGATGCTGCATAAATTTTCCGCATAAACTCACCTGTCAAATTTTGACCGATCAGAGCATAAAAATTGGACGTAGAGCGTGACCAACGCGTGACCTTGGTGAGAAAAGTCAAAAGCAACTGGCATGTCTTCCCTGCCTGTAAAAACTGGCTGAATTTTAGCTTCCGAGGTCAGTTTAAAATCAACATTTTAATTGTGCGGCACATACAAAACACAACATATTTCATATGAATTTTAAAAAAATTAACTTGAGCCTGCGATCATTTGAGAACTAGAAACTTGTCAGCCGATAACTTCAAAAAGATATTCGACCTCGATGGGTCGACACCTGCGCCCGCGATACGGTCAGGTGATACTGGTCAGCGGATACCCTGTTTTGACAGCTGTCAATTGATCACAACATTGATGTGCAATATATGTGTGCAATATCAGTCTTCCTGTGCTCCCAAACTGGCTAGAAAGTGTGAGGATTAAACACTAGTTTCCCTGTGGTGCGGACGGACGGGCGGGCGGGCGGTGTACGGTCACGTGATTACCAAATTTTCTGAGATGGGTAGATTTACTTACCCATGGTGCTCCGCAGGCGCGCTTCGCGCGCCAGAGCTCCGCTATAAACCAACCTTCACTGTGTTACTCTAAACGTTTCAGATTTTTGTTCGAAGTCTTGCTGGAACCATCTGTAAAAACGTGATTTTGCCGATACAGGAGCCCGATATGACTTGCGAAACACTTTTGAGTCAGGCCTCATGAGTTGTTTGAGGAAACCATGTTAAGAGGTGAGCAATTTTTGAATTGGCCATTTGGTTGTTTCTCTGATTTCTTAATAATCAGACACTCTTAAAATCTTACCGATCGAAAGAAAGGACCCCTTATATGCGTAGCAAAACTCCATAGTCATACCCTTTTGAGTCAGTCAAGCTGTGCTGAGCTGAGCTCCAATGAAATCATCTATTTCCCGTTTTTCCCCAGTTCTCCCTCCACTGACCATTTTATTTCTCGTTGTCTTCACTCGATCTGTAGGCTCGCGCTATCATCCTGAAAAGCTGCGCATGCCCGCAGTTTCCATTAATGCAGACTGATGGCATTCGATATCAAATTTCTAAAACAAGGACAAGAAACTAACTGTAGGTATGTAACAGGTTTTATTTGTCGTAAATCACCCTAGGAGAAAGAGTGCGATTCCGAATACAACATTTCTATTCAACCTCTTTTAATGCTTCGGTTAACATAAATACATTTTGCTTTTTATCTAATAACAACTTTTCATCAAGCCGTGCAGTGTAGCTTTCCAATTCATTTCCTCATTTGCTTATACAGGACAAATAAAATTACCACCTATTTGATTTGCCAATGGATCTGCAACCATGAAACGTTGAAACACATAAGCGCCAAGAGCACAATTCCTTGGATCTACAATGGGAGCATTTGCGTTATCTAGCTGGGAGACCTGTGTCTCGCCAGGTTTGTGCGACCACTGTCCGTTGTTATCCAGTCGATACCAATGGAAATCACCAGTACGTACCGCTGTATCTAGGAATGAATAACAGCAATCTGTCAATAACAAGGTAACTTGGGCTTTTCATTCCATAACACCTAATGATAATGTTGGTCATACTGATGATCATGATGATGATAATGATGGTGATGATGATGAGGATGATAATGATGATGATGGTGATGCTACTGCTTCTGATGATGATAATGATCGTTTCCCAAAAATTCAGTTCCCTTTTTTTGAAGCCTTAAAATAATACTAAGTACTGCGAAGATCTTTCTAAAACTATATCTCTTAGTAGTTTTATGCAGGAAAAAGCTAAAAAGCACATTCTCAGTTCTTTTGCTAAAAACTGCAAATATATCTGGATGTTTTTCCGCAAAAGCGTTCCTTGTGAGAGGAACGGCCATTGAAACGAACGCTTGTTCCTATACTGTGTGAAGATATGTTAGCCTTAAAACCTTTCCCAAAATTTAGTTCCTTCTTTGTCAGTGATGACAAAGATGCTTAAAGCCAAAAAAACCGCTTTATAGTGAATTCTGTTGTTAGGTAGTAGCTCTCCCATTACTCCCGTCAAATCCATCTTTTCCGTCTTTGACAAGAAGTTTCGGAAGCTAACATAAGTTAACGTAACGTAAGTTCCCTTCCATGTAAACTTCTAAAATTCATCGGGAAAGACGGATTTAACGGATTTAGCGAGGATATGAATGCTTAATGATATATCATATTGTAAACTACTCTTGAATACTGTAAGTAAATTCTCAGCAATATTTAATAAATATTTCTTTAATATATACTTACAGTTTTAAAGAGAAGTATATGATTAACTATTTCATTAAAAATTCATATCCCCGTCAAACCCGTCGAATCCATCTTTCCCGTCCTTGTTTGAGAAGATGTTTCCTAAGCTAATATATTACAACTGATCCACTTAACAGCACTGTAAGTGTTCTCCAATGTAAACTTCTGAAATTCAACAGGAAAGACTGATTTAACGGATTTAGCGGGGATATGAATGTTTAATGATCTATTCTATAATAAACTACTTTTGAATACTGTAAGTAAATTCTCAGCAATATTTAATAAATATTTCTTTAATATATACTTACAGTTTTAAAGAGAAGTATATGATTAACTATTTCATTAAAAATTCATATCCCCGTCAAACCCGTCGAATCCATCTTCCCCGTCCTTGTTTGAGAAGATGTTTCCTAAGCTAATATATTACAATTGGTTCACTTAACAGCACTGTAAGTGCTCTTCAATGTAAACTTATTAAAGTCAACGGGGAAGACGGATTTCACGGATTTAGCGGGGATCAGATCCATCTTTCCCGTCCTTGTTTGAGAGGATGTTTGCGGCAAAAGAAATGTATTACATTTGATCAGTTTGAGCACCGTTTCAGGAAACTCGGAATAGCACAAAGTACATGACAATTGTTTACAACTCAAATCTGTTTCATTTGTTTTTCTATCAACAATAAGCAAGCCTTACAAAAGTATGAATGGTTTAATTAAGTAAATTTTCAAACAATAGTTTCCCATGTCCAATTTTGAGCACTTTTTTTCAAAATTCAGTTGTTCTCATCAGGCAAGTTTCGAGTTACGCAGAAGAATGCAGCATTACGTCACTTTGTAGTAACCATTTTGTGTTGCAATTATCACTAGTTTCTGTCCACTTGTGTTCCCTTAAAAATCTATGAACCTTGGGGACGAAAACTGTGAGAAAACTGCGAACGAAATTTCACAATTATTGCCAACGATCTTTACAACGTTAACGAGTCAAATCTGTTCCCTTTGTGTTTCTCTCAGTGTTAAGACAAAGCCGCCTATCAATAGTATGAATGTTGAAACCACCTAAGGTTTGGAACAATAATTTTCCATGCCCAATTAACAGCACTCTTTACAAAATTTAGTTGGTTTCACCAGATACGTTTCGAGTAACACAGAAGAACGCAGAAGTACGTAACTCTGAAGTAACCGTTTTGTGTTGCAATTATCGCTAGTTTCTGTCCACTTGTTCTCCCTTAAAAACCTATCAACCCTAGGGACAAAAACTGCGAGAAAACTGCGACATAAATTCCATAATAATGGCCAGGTTTGCTTTCAATAAGTTGACCATTATGGTTCAAACCGTAACAGTGTCAAAAACAGCGAGTGACATTTCTTCATATTTATTCTTATCGACTTCACAAGTCGAAGACAGCTACATAAGCAGCCGTTTAAGCCTCATTTATCGCTGCACATTTGACGAAGATGTGTCGAGCCACAGGACCGTGCAAACAGCTTAACAGCGAGGGAATAAAAGGAGCAACGTTGGGTTACATGAGTCCCGTAATCGCCGGCCAATGTAGCATTGTGAGCGCGAAATGTGTGTGGAACGTGAGCGAAAAGGAGCTTGCTAAATCGTGGAAAAACATCTGCAAAAAGCGAGATTTGTGTGACAGAGCCCTTTCAGGTTAGCTTTCATCAAATTTCATGCTAATTATTGGTTTCCCAAAAAAAATTAAAACGAATCTTGTCCATTTTCAGGTATTCCGAATGCAGCCTTTTTTTTTTCAGTGCGATATCTACACACGAGAAAAAGAAGGGAAACGTACAAGAGGAAAGCGAGGAAAGCGAAGAAGAACCCGAACCAAGTCCTGTGCCAAGCACGTCTTCCGAACAATGGCTTGATGGCAGTCGAACTCGTGTGAATAAATTGCTTTGGCCATCGCTGACCTATTGGATTGCACTCACGTCACCCAATGGCGCTCCTGCAAATCCCTTGGTGGTTCATCGGACCCTGCTCGAGTGTGGAATGGGTGTCACAGCAAAACAGGTATGGGACGTATTCTTGGCAAGTTAAAGCTTCCTAATAGATACTTTTATAATTGGGCAGGTTTATTCTGTGCAACTTATGTAATACCTTACAGCTGATAGAAAGATCAGAGTCAAGCTGTTACGGGGATGAGTTACGAATTATACGACTTAGTTAGCGATGACCATTCCAAAAAATAATTCTGTTCACTAAATTTGAGTTTTTACTTTACCAGGTGCAATTTCAAGATGGAAAAGAGTGTATTGCCATTCGAGAACTGTACAATCTACTTAAAGACCATAAAAATCCCTATGTGCAAGACCTCGTGACAGCATCATACGAGCACAATTATCGCGAGGAATTATCGAGCTTACTCGCAACATCGCAACCACAAGAATTGGAAGGCTGTGGGACAGAAAATGTTGTTCGTGTCACTATCGTTAACCCAAGTTTTCAACAGCCATTATCAAACGCGCTAGAAAAGATGGTGGAAGCTAAGCTACAAATTGACAAGTTTGGCTTTACACGCGACACGACGCTGCCGGTTTCTGAACGCGAAGAGAAACATTTATCAGATAAACTCACAATTCTCGTCAACGACATCACCATCGCAACGCAAAAGTTACAATACGCCAGCTATCGAGGCAAAGTGTACAAGAAAGATCCAAGGGCAATTTACACATACACGTACAAGTGCGAAGCAAGGAATTTCATCAACACTCTCGCCGCTAATGAGCAATTTAAATCGCGACTTATCCAATACATGAAGAGGATAATTGAACTGTTGTCAGACCCACACTGCGAACTGTTTCGTCCCCTGGTCATAAGTTACGACCTTATAGAAGTCAACGATGGGGTTTGCTGGTCCCTCAAAGATCGTGCATTCAAAGAGAATGCCATTGAAGAGCGCCAAATTGGAAAAGTATCTCCCAGGGCATTTTGCGCATATGATCCATCTAAACATGCTGATCCAAAGTACTTTCGGGAAATCCTAGCGAATAGCCTGTCTGAAAACGAAGTTTCAACATTCTGCGGTGATTTCCTAAAACTGCTAAACTACAACGGGAAGCAGCACAAAGATAAAGTACCCTGTCTCGTTCGAGATGCGAATAGCGGAAAAACAAGTTTGTTTTTTCCGATACAAGGGCTCGTACACCATGGCAACATCGCCACCGTCACGAAGCAACGGGCGTTCAATAAGGCCATGATCACCCCATTCACAGAAGTCATATTCATCGATGAGGCAGACGAGAAAACACTCGACGTCGCCGACTGGAAAATCCTAACGCAAGGAGGATATACCGCTCACGACGTTAAGTATCAGACGGCTAAAGCATTCCTTAACAAGTGCCCGATGTTAGTGACCGCGCAGCGTATGCTCGATTTCGGTCCCGCCGACCAGCCAGCAATAGATAGACGTCTGCGCACGTATCAGTTCAAGAGCCTCCCGAATCCCAAACGAAAGGCGGCAGCGTGGCTCAAAAAGCACGCCATGGAATGCGTTGTTTGGGCTGCTGAAAAGGCAAAACCATGTGACGATGCCAGCGAGGACGAAATCGATACCGAGAGCGACGATGACAACGACGTAGATGACGAGGAAGGTCTTTTGAAGGAGACGAAAAAGGAAGCACTTAGGTCGCTGTCACTTGCGAATCCACTGGCCACTGGCGAGATCAACATTGCACTTTCGACAGACGAAGAAGAGGACAATTGCGATGAAGATGGTGTAAGTAGCACCTCGATCGACCGCCTCGATTTGTTGAGGGAAGCCGCAAGCAGATCGCACCCAGAGAGTCTACGACACAGGCAAGTGCAGCACATGCTGATGGAGGAGGAGAGGAAACGAGCCGAGGAAGAGCAGAGAAAACGACAGCAGCACCTGAGGCGAAAATCCATGCTGAGGAAGAACGGAGTGAGCACCCAGAACGCAGAGTTGCTTCCGTTAGACCCGGGCGAAGAGATGCCCACTCCAATTGTTCTTGATCTCGAAGAGAATCGAAGAGCACAGAGAGAACACCTGGTACAGCAGCACCGCGAGAAGGCACGTTTAGTCTTCGTTGGTTCTTGGCTGCGTTCCGCGGAGAAGGAACTTGACGANAACATTGCACTTTCGACAGACGAAGAAGAGGACAATTGCGATGAAGATGGTGTAAGTAGCACCTCGATCGACCGCCTCGATTTGTTGAGGGAAGCCGCAAGCAGATCGCACCCAGAGAGTCTACGACACAGGCAAGTGCAGCACATGCTGATGGAGGAGGAGAGGAAACGAGCCGAGGAAGAGCAGAGAAAACGACAGCAGCACCTGAGGCGAAAATCCATGCTGAGGAAGAACGGAGTGAGCACCCAGAACGCAGAGTTGCTTCCGTTAGACCCGGGCGAAGAGATGCCCACTCCAATTGTTCTTGATCTCGAAGAGAATCGAAGAGCACAGAGAGAACACCTGGTACAGCAGCACCGCGAGAAGGCACGTTTAGTCTTCGTTGGTTCTTGGCTGCGTTCCGCGGAGAAGGAACTTGACGAGTGTGTAGAAAAGTACAGTCGTGCAGACGATCCATACATGCGAAGTAGCCTGATGGCGTACCAGGAGGTCCTATCCGACAAGCTGAAGTTCCACCATCAGAATCTTGGGACCTTCAACACGGAGGAAGCGGTGGCGGAACGTAGGAGAGTCTGCGTGGAGCTGGGAATACTGCGCGAAGCAGACCAGCTCATGCTAAAAAATGTGACGGAACCCTTGCCAAGACCGACGGAAGAGCAAGGTGTGGCAGAAGCCGAGGCGAGTACCGAGGACGACAGCGCCGATGAGGTATTTACCCAGGTTCCTAGCTGGCAGACGAACCACTTAGAGTTTTTGAGGACCTGTCAGGGCGAGCAGCAACTCCAGAAAGGGACGAAGAGGGCAAGAAAACAGGAAGGGCGAGTTCGTGCAAAGAGCCAGAAGGACAGTGGCTGCAGCAACAGTGAGAACACAATCCTCAAGTACTTTTCCAGCCAGAAGTAGGTCTGCGCTCAGAGTGGACGAGAACAGAACATTGTATTTTGCATTATTGCCCTTTATTCGTAGGTCCTTCAGTTTAACTCGAGTTTAGCCTATCGTCAGTTAGGTGTCCTACGTGCTCATGATCAACTGCCTGTGCAAGATGATTCATTTGTTCATGATCAAGTCCAAATAAAAATTGTTTGTGCTTAAGCATGTGTTGTTTTACGATCACTACTAGCTTTCAAGTGTCGCCCGCCAAAAGAACGCATTTTTGTCCCGTTTTATAACTTTCAAACTATTACACTTAGAATTCCGGTTAAAACATCGTAGTCTTGGTCCATTGCGTTTGTCCAGTCGAGGAAAACTTCCGAGGGGGGCCCTCTTAAGTTTTGTGTTATGACCTAACTACAGTTTAGTGTTCTGGTGCCCTTCGCAGAATTTTGTTTTGCTCACAATGTAAAGTTCTAGGATAACTTAGAAAGTGATCCAAATCTTCGCACTGCACGGCTCAGCAGGGAGTTGGCTGTCCTTCCCTCTTGAAACGAAATTCGGGATCCCTGAGAATCGCTTTCCATTGACCGTAACCGTGTCGCTCGATGCCTGCTTTTAGATTAATTGTCTTCTTCAGGGGTGAACATCACACTCTTTTTTCTGGCCGGGAAGTCTGTCGCTATAAACGCATTTTCCCGCTTTAGTCTCGGGACACCTGAAAGACGCTCGGGTGGTGTTTCTGCGATCGTTTCTCCCTCGTCGTTAGAGGAAGTATCGGTTTTGCTACCGTTTTGATCTTCAGAAGACGCAGAATTGCCAGAAAGCCTCGAGCGCACGTCTATTTCTAGCTCTGATTCCTGTGCAATCGTTCCAAATATTCATGTGCTTTGCTCGCCACCTCGCGCGATCGCTGCTTCTGATAGTGAACCCTTGCAACAACGGAGCTGTGTTTCTGGTCCTCGGAGATTGTGCTCTGCGCGCTGCTGCTCAGCTGCCTGCAACTCGCAGTCTCCACAATCTGTCGATAGCGAGTCGGGTGAACGTATTTGCCTGTTGCATCGAAGACCAGTTTACTCATTAGCTCTCCCAGCTTGTTGTGCTGCCCTCCATTTCTTGTTACCAATACAAAGTCGCAGGTCGGTCTGAGTAGGGGGCGAATGTGGTCGATGTAGCCATCCAACACTTGCATGCTCGTATCAGTCAGGTAAAGAGAATCGAAGCCAAATTTTCCAGCCGTTTTGAACATTTTCTGGTCTATAAATCCACCGTTAGTCCTGGCTTTGTTTACCATTTCCACCGTTAAGTACTGATATGTCATGGGGCGCGAGCCCTTGACCTTAATAAATAAATAGACGGCCAAAAATTTGGTAGCAAAAGATAAATCTATTGGCAAAACAGCACCTGGTTTCTCCTTGCATGATTTCAGTACGCTCTCGTAGCGCGGCAAGTAGCACCCCACGACTTCCAACAGTTCTTCTAGTGTGGCCCAGTGCCCCTTGGCTTCTAAGGCATCGATGTCGAGCTCACTCGTCCACTGCAAGCGCATCATTTTGGAAACGGTTTTGCGCACCTTTTTCAAGTAAATTTCTGTTGTAGCCAGCCCTCTCAATACTGATTCCGATGCTCCATTCACTTTTCGATAATCCACCAATTCTACAATGGCATCCAAGTAGCCTATGCGTCCCGCGTGTCCCAGATTCCAATCATCCTGCATCGTATCAACAAACTTGAAAAGGAGATTCGGTGAACATAAACTAAAGTCCACAATGTCAAATGTGAGCTCCTCTATCCAAGTAGCCTATGCGTCCCGCGTGTCCCAGATTCCAATCATCCTGCATCGTATCAACAAACTTGAAAAGGAGATTCGGTGAACATAAACTAAAGTCCACAATGTCAAATGTGAGCTCCTCTTCGTCTTCGCAACAAAATTTGAGAAACTTTAAGCACTTGCTCATGATCTGTTGTGCTTGTCGATCACTTTTACAGCCCCCACCACTGCCAGTTAGCCATGAAAAAAAGGTCTTGGCAATTTTGTTTATAGGATCAAAAGAGGCAATTGCCCTGCTTTTACGCGGTGTAATCTTCTGATCATTAGCTTCGCAGTTGTTGTTTTGAGCGACATGAAGCGAATCGATTTGAGCACTGTCTGGCTTCTCGTCGAAGTAATAGTACCAACTTTGTTTGTTCTTTACGTGTTTTCTACAGCCTCTTTGCGTAGTGAATCCATCGTGGTTACAAATTTGCCCTGGGCAGTGAAAAAGACCATCACAGTCATCCTCTTCTAAGTGAAGTCTCTTTGGTTTAGGCGATGCATTTGCTAACGTTGACCAGTCGACATCCTTGCCTCGTTTGTTCATCTTAAGCATAAGCTTGAAATCGATATCTTTCTAAAGTATGCATGCACTTATACTAGCAAAAGGGTCCCCAAGAGATCATCTTATTCGCCAATAAGATATTTGTTAGCCCATCTCTGCCCACACTTGGTCATTCTTGCCCCTTGTCCCCTTTGTTTCCTTGTCGGTATTTGGTACACAATTAACCAAAAGAAACAAAGACACAAGCCTGAACTTGCGCGGGCAAGCCCGAACGAGATTAAGCATGTAACGGGCAAGTCTCGTACTTAACTTGATTGTTGAAGGATACATGTTTTGTCAAATTTGTATAGCGGAGGTGATGGACAGTAGATTCAGATAGCCTACGATAAATAAGAACTATTGTTCCCTATTCCTTTTTACACTTTGCGCAAGATGGAACGCTAGTTCCTTTGTCACAAATTCGTAACCTGTTCCCATTTATAAGCGGAACATAACACTCTTCTTGAGGATCAAAAAACCACCTCGATTAGGAACAATTCCGTTCCTGTTGGGCATGAATAGGAACAATTTGAACCGAAAGGGAACAAGGCGTTCCGAAAAGCAGTGGATATGCCAGTAGATAGGAACAATTTGTTCCTTACTGTGTAGAGCGAGAAATTAGATTGGGAACATTTGTTCCCCAATCACTTCGAAAGGAACATGAAGGGAAATCACGCGCGGAACACTGCGTTTTTGAAAAAGAGATGTTTCCTCGTGTCGCGTCACTTAAGATCAAACTCTGAAAGTTTCCTCATGTAAAAAACGGCCTGACAATACCGAGGACAAAAATGCAATTGAAAATTACGGTGTTTTATCCTTAAATGTTGCTATCGTTACTTTTGGGGAATGTATATGATGAATATAACAATAAACCCACAATATCGGCATATCAAATTGAACATCACAACGAGTCTTAGAGGACACAAACAAAGAAAATAAATGGACATGCTTTTTGATTTTTGTTATTTATGTCGTCTAAGACTCGCTGTCAAGCTAAATTCCGAAAGTGGTCTATTGCACTATCAGTCATTAGCATTTCTAATCATTCAAAATATTAATCCATTTGTGATCAGCTCAAATCCCCCGGCTAATTCTTCATAACCAGCTTGCGTTTACCAAATCTGAAAGCGATGGCGAATGCGATAAAGTAACAACAACAACAACAATAAAAACAAATCAATAGTGCATGATAACTAAAGAAATGGGCGCAGTAACCGAGAGCCCTGGGGACGACGTCTCGTTAACTGTAAGAAGTTTTGTTGACAAGACTCTTTGTTTTTATTGATGCTGTTGAATTTACAATCGGCTAAATGTTTTTTGTCGTTTGTTTCTTATCTTTTTATTAAGGACATGCGAAAGCGATATTTTTTTTTTGATGCAGCTGTCATCGGCTCATGAAAAAAACTTTCGGTTATCTAACTGTTCCTATCACACATTGGGAAACTTAAGATCGACGAGTTTTTGGGGCGACTACGACTACAACCGGACGTGACGTAATGATTTGTAAGACATTGCGCATGCTCTTGCTCTCTACCTTGCCGTCGTGGTCGACTGGTCTGTTTGTGTTTGCGTTGTGGAAAAACGTGAGTATTTAACTTTCATTCCAATCAGAATCAACTAGAAATTTGCAGATGATCGTTCTTTAATTGTCCTGGTTTTCTTTGAGTCACATTTGAAGCTTGATTTCCAGATATATATATATATATATATATATATAACAGTCATTTCAGTTGTGATGCGCGCGCGTTACCTTCGTAATTCAGCAATTTAAAAGTTCTGTACGTTAACGGCTAGTTAGTCACCCTGAAAAAGGTCACTGAATGTGATCGAAATATAGGTGGATTGAAAGGAAACCGTTTTCTGTCTTCATTTGTGATTAAGATATATATATATATATATACACCCGTTTTCAAAAAGGTTTTCATACAGAGAGATATATAGATAGATATATACTTTTGTTCCTTTGCACGTGCGCCAGTGTGCATTTTTCACTTGTTATTGTCCAACTTGTGAAAAACTCGGTTCAACGATAAATTTTTTCGTCGTCGGGTTTTTTTGTTCCAGCTTGACATGTCGTTTTGAGTTTTTTTTTAGAAAAATACATGCGCCCTACGATACAAATTTGCAATGATGAATTATATAGCTGATTTTGGGAATGAGGAAAATATCCCACGAAGCAGCCGATCCGCGAGTTATACGGCGTCACCGAATTGGTAGGCCAAATGCCATGGCACCTGTAGCAAGTGCAATTTGTGGCCGAGAGTGTATTCTGTCTTCAATGAGACGTTGCCTTACAGGCCGTGATTTTACACGAAAAAAAGGTGAGACATTAAGATATATGACCAGCTCATCATGGTTATGATAAAGTCTGCTTCTATGAACCTCGTCAACGTCTTAATCCGTTTTAATCAACTGCTACAATATTGTTGCTCCTTCCCACATATCCAATATGGACATCCACGGTCACATCTTCCTTCTCAGCGGTTTGGAAAACACATTTTTTTTTCATTTCATCTGCGTTTTTCCCCTTATCCTGTAACGACAACAATTATATAACCTACAAGTGACCCAATTCGTCATTTTTTAATTTTCAAGAGAATGCAAATCAAGAGAATTGCAGACAATATTCGTCCATTATTTTTTCAATTGACAAATTGGAACAAAGAACCTGACGAA